CTCAAAGAGCTCCATGGCTGAGAAGGGAACCTGGCTCTCCCAGATCCCTGGCTCTCCCTGTGTCACTGTTTATACACAGGAAACGATTTGTGTAGTAAAGTGAATCACACAAACCCTGCCTGTCTTCTGAAGTGATACACAACTGGCAGAGAGATGCTGCACATCTTCTGGGAAGCCCCCAAAATATGCTTCAGAAGTACCAGAGAATCTTTGCTTTTTACCCAATGCAACTCACAGCTGAAGGTAACGCTGCCCCCTCCCCACCCAGCCCCAGCAGGAACTATGTGACTTTAAGAGCTGCCCAACAGACTGAAATTCAGATGGTGCCATTTTTACTAGCATGGGAATCCTCATTGCCAGTCTCTTCTTCAGAAAACTGAGTCCTGGAAAGGAGCTGGCTACAATTGTCACTTGGTTTTATGACCAGCATTGTAAAAATATTAAAAACCTACTGAATTTCATCACAGTAGATTTGCTTGGTGATACAGAAAAAGCTCTAAAGTCACGGAAAGGTTAACTAGCTTATAGGAAACCAAAGGCTCTAGAACCGGGGTTTATTCAACTGACCAATTTTTGAAGCATTCAATAGCTGGACTTAAGCATTTAATAATCCACTGTTATGTTTTGGTCTGGTGACTTCTCCAGAGATTGCTTCTCCATTGACCAACCAATGCAGCAAAACCCAGGACAATAACCAGCCTAGACAAGGAGTGCGCAGGAGCTGTTCAGGGATCCTTCTGACCTCGAACATGATCACCTAGACTTGACCAAGTGGGAAACAGACCCAGCTGCGTTCCCGTTGTGGAATCTGGACAGACGTTGCCAACAGGGGAAGCCAGGCACCCTGCATCATGCAGAGCTCTTTAGTCTGAGTCATCAGAAATGCCCAGAGTCAGAAGAATGTTAATAAAATTAGCTTCGTGTCTTTGGAGCAGGGAGAAGGAACGGGAAAGGAAAGGTTGCACAGCCCTAAGTAGTCACCAAAGTCCACCTCAAGCAAAATTCAAGGTGAATTTGGAGGTATCTGCTTGGATAAAAGTTAAAAAACCCCTGAGATATCTGAGGGAAGTTTACAAAAGAATGTCTAGCAACAATTATTGGGGGCTGACTGGGCTGCACATCCCTAAAAAACTGGAGGCTTGATTACTGGTTATAACTGACTTTGTCATGCTGTTTGCACGAAAGCTGTGAACAAATCCTGTTCGTTAAAAATGTTGTATAGCACATACAACTTCCAGAAACAATCTAAAATCTATGGCAGCACCACTAAATGCCCATCCCTTGGTCTCCATATTCTTTGAACTGATGCAAGCAAGAACGGTGCAGAACAGTAAGACAGATGGCTATGGATGGTCGTGTTAAAACCTTTTCAAAGCCACTCTGTGGCAATGATTTTCATGTTAATTGTGCAAAATGCTTGTTTTCCCTCCCTGGTTTGGAAAGAAAATTAGTTTCAAAAGGCCTGTAGGTTTCCCTGGATGGCTCTGAGCACTAACTCATGATTCACTTTCACTGAGCCATTAATGGCTTTATAAGCCTGTAAGAACTCCACACCTCACCACCTTTCTTCTAAGCTAAGCCCTAGAACAGTTTACACATATCTTCACGAAAAGGAAATCCCAACCCCTTAGATTATTTTAATTCTCCTTTCTGTAGTTGAATGGCACCCTTTAGAGATACACTGACCAGAATGCCAACCAGTACCAAGGGTGGACTGCACACTTATACAACTACTGATGACATTAGCGCTTGATTTCCGGTCCCTTTCCTGACAATCCCTAACACCACATTTGCCCTTTTTACAGCAAGCTGATATTTTTGATGAGTGTTCTCTGATGATCATTAAGCGTATCTTTACCAGGTGACTACAGATGGTACCCAAACTTTAACTGGGTCCCAACTTTGTACTTAAATGGAATTTCATCTACCATTCTTTCAACCTGATCTAGAGAGGTTTTGAAACTGTCCAAGAACTGCTTGGCATTTCACCACCCTCTGTAATTTGCTGGCTTCTGAAAGCCCAGCTGCTTTAACGCTATTATGGACTGCAGCTTCTGATATCAACTGACAAGCACATCTCCTAGTGATCTTTGACTCCAAGCACCTCCCAGTTACCTGTGGCATCTGTACCAAAATGGCAGATAGCTGGAAACGCTTTGGAATTGCCCGTAACAGCAGGCAGGAGAATACGCAGCAAACAAATGCCATTATTGCTTCAAACATCATTCCACCCTTATTGCCTTAGTGAGACCCCCCCAAAGCATGACTGTGCCCCCTTTACGTACTGCCATGTGCCATGTGCCAAGCGCACTGGGCTTTCTTCTGGGTTGAGTTGAGGTTACAGTGCCAAATGCAGGTAATGCTATTTCATGGCTTTTAGAAAGAATTCAGGGCAATACATCAAGCACCGCTGCTTTATGATTTCCATTCCCATAGCAGATGCATGTGGCCTCTATGAATGCATGACTCACAGGTGCAAAAGCGGCACTTGGCGGATTGCCCCCATATTGCTAATTTATATTATTTTATATTATTTTCAGTCATAACCTATTGCTTATTGCTGTTATATGCACTGCACTAACAAAAGTGTTCTGATTCTTTTTCTTGAAAGAAAAATCCATCTACTCGCTTTTCACTGCCAGAGGAGCGACCTGGTGTGCACATCTGCTTTGCATGGTCAAACAGAACAGACACCAAGGCCCATCATGCATGAAGCAATCAGACTGGTTCCTTATCAGGCTCATCGAGACATACCTCTTGCAACAGTGCCTTCTCAGCCTTCTGGTGGCTTGGAGACAAGGAGCCTCTGGCTTGCTGGATGCATGCGCAAGCACTGTGGGTGCCGGTGTGGGAGCATTTTAGAGACAGGTCCTAATAAAGAGGTAGCAGTGGGGAAAATGACGATGCTGACATAATTTCGGTGTTAATATTTCCAGAAGAGAAATGGTTGAAGCAGATTTTCAGAGTGTCATCACAGCCTCAAGCACCTTATCTGGGATGCTCCAGGCTTTCTCTGCTCCTTCTTTCTGAACTTTTCTGAATAAGTATATATGAAATAAGAATGCTCCAGAAGAAAGGAGACCCAGGTGCAGGACTCTGCCAGGAGACAACCTTTGTTGCTTGGACTGTTCCACCTTTCTCTAGCTAAGAACTTCTAGGTGATGGTTTCTGGAAACCCTTCAACCTGACAAGAGAAATTACGGGCTTGGACAGAACAAATCTACAAGCCCTATTTGCCTCACTACAATAGGGCACAGCCTCCCTTTTTGTCTCAGTCCAGGAGCTTGGTACCTTATTTACGCCACCAGCTACCATGCCCCCCTCAAGTAAAGAAGAAGCCAGCAGCATTTTCAGCCTCATGAAACTGACCTCACCAGGGCTTGATCAGGGAAGCAGGAGGAACAACAGAGATGCCTTGGCATCCCAAGCATGGCCCAGCACTGGGTATCTGATTGGTAGACTGCCACATGGCTAGCTGTGCTCATTAAAGACTATTTGATTTTTGCAATCTCTTTCTTCAACTTTTTAATCCAAACAAAATGGGATAACTCTAACCAGCTGGAGTGACAGTCCCACCCTCCCTTTAGCTAAGACTGTAAGAAGCTTCCTGCTAGATCAACTGGAAGGACGCATCCTGCTTCTCACATTGGCCAAGCGAGAGGCCTCTAAGAGCCCATTCACAGAACACGATGTCGGTAGCCTTCCCTTCTGGCAACTCTCCTACCTAAGCATTCATCCGGGCTGCCTGAGCCTCCCAACTTTAGTCTATTTAATTTTTCTTTAATTAAAATTAGCTAGAAGGCTGGGAGGGGTACAAGCCAAAGCGCTGCCTTCCAACAACACCTTTAAATGGGGTCAAAAGATTATTTTCTGCAGTTTTCTGTAGTTTGGCCCTCAGGTTGCCTTTGTTGACTTGCAAATTCCTTCCTCATCTCACCTGTTTGGCTTCTGGAAAACCAGTTTTGTGACCACAGCTGCCAAATCCCTCCACAGCAGCCTTTTGTGAGACCACCCAAGACACTCCCACAAAGTGCCAATTGTGTCCACCAACCCAAACACACTGGGGACCCCAGTCAGTATAAAAACAACTGGCTGGACCTCTTTCCTTAAGAAAACTTTGAACAAACCTCTGTTAAAAAATAATGCTGAAATGTACGATTCTACATCATCAGGCCTCTAGGAGAGCTTCGGTTTTACTTTTCTGATGGCTTCCTCAACAACCCTTACATGTATTTGCTCAAAAGTAAGGCCCACAGTGAGGCTTCTGCCCAAGTAAGTGGGTATAGGATTGCTGCAGTAACCTAACCGATGGCCCATCTAAACATACTGTACATTGAGAAGTATATTACAGGGGAAATTTGCATTTTAAAAAACATACACCAAGAGGTTCGGTTCTCCACTGCAGGCTGTGTGTACACATGAACACTCCTGCCGTTGAGATATATGTACACACACAGCTGCCTATATATATCTATATATTTATATATCCTGAAATGCATATTTGCATGTATGTACACCAAGATACATGTGTGTTTCCCTGTCTCCCCAGACAGGAGCAGGGAGGGCTTGGGCAGGCACACATGTATACACGTAAAATGGGATGGGATCTGCCCACCTTGTCATGCCAGCGTGAAAAAGGACAGTTGCAGGTTGCTGGTTTTGCAGCCATTAAATTTTGCGGTTTTATGAAACGAGGCTTTGTTTAAGTATTTTTTCTCTTTTTGTTTTCTTTGCAGTAAGCATCATTGGAAGAAGACCAAAGCAGAGCAACTATAAGTTAAACATACACTTGAGCTTAGCTGCATTTACATATCTCTTTTAGGAGAAGCAGGCTCAAAGGGGTTTGTTTCATTTAATTGTTACGTGTGTGTGTTTGTTGGCAATTGTTGCTTCCTTGCCAGCATCGCATCTCTTGAGAACCACCGTGATTTCCCCACCCCACCCCGCCCTAAATTATATCATCTTCGGAAGAAGGTTGGGTTTCGCAGGCAGGCGGCTAGTCACCTGCAACAACCGAGGGGTCCCGCAGAAGCTTCCAAGCTGCTGTCAGTGTCCGACGCCAGGGTCTGGTCTGTGGACATGGAGGAGATGTCGTTGACGGAGGAGGATGGAGGGAGGCTTTCGCTGCTGTTCACTGCTGCACCTGTGCTAAGAAAACGAACACCGGCGTGATTCAACCTGAAAGCCGGCAGGCAGCCTTGCAGCTGCCGACCGCGGGAAACACAGTGCCGCTTTTAGCACGGCCGGCTCAGACAACATGGCAGCCTGCTTTGCAGCTCTTTCTTTATGGTATTTATTTATTGCGTACCATATTTATGTCCCGCCCTTTCAAGTAGCTCTTACATAAGTCTCTTCCTCCTCTCAAGCATATCCTCACAACAGCAGCCCTGTGAGGTAGGTTGGGCTGAGGGTCTGTGATTGGCCCAGAGTCACCCAGTTGGCTCCATGGCTGAGCGGGGACTCGAACCCAGAGCTCCTGAGTCCCAGTCCCACACCCTTAACCACACTGGCTGTCAATGATCTTCCAGGCGCAAAGCATCACCGTTACATCATGTTGGCGGCAAGAAAACGTCCAGTACGAAGATCACAAGAAAGCCTGGGAGGTCTTCAGCTCTCTACTTCCAGTAAAGGCTAGCAAATCTGAAAAGCTCACGTATCTGCAGTCTTTGACTTGGCCTAATAGGAGTTTTACACTATATGGATTTCAGAGGAGCTGTAAGGTGTCGGGTCCAACGAAGTGAGAGTGCTGGGAAACAGCTGCCAACAGCATTGGGGCCCCACCTCTGTGTATTTCCCTCAGAAGGAAAAAGGAGATGCACGTGCCCTTCTCCAGGGCCAGCAGCACCTGTGAGACCCCTGGGGGCTTCCCTGCCTGTGCTAGCAGCAAGCAATTCAAAGAGCAGTAGTTAGATCTCCAGTTCTGGGACAGAACTAAATGGGGGGGAGGAATGCTGGGGCCCTGTCATCTGCCTATAGATGTCAGGTGCCAGACCAGCCTTGAGCACCTCCTGTTCGGAGGGGATGCCTGGCCTATGTGTTTACAGGTGAGCATCCTCCATACCAGTGTATAAAATGTCATGTGAGGATCATGTACATGGGCTTATTCACAGAAGCATCACTTGAATTTCTCATTAGCTGATCATCAATGTGTAATGAGAGAGGCAATAAGAGAGGTTTGGTCTGTTGTGTTTTGCCCTGTGGTTGTAGGGACACCTTGTCATGTCATGGCAAAAATCAACTTATGAAGGGCAGGGGAAGAGAGAGAAAGAGGGCCGGGCGGAGGAAGGAAGGGGACGAAGATGCTTAATATCAGTATATGCGTCAAACCTTTCTGAACAGGTGCCTGGAAATATTTTTCAGCTAGGTATGCTAAAAGCATGAAATGATCTAGCACAAACTATTCAAGCCCGAAACCAGGCAGTTCATTTCTTAATATATTAAAGTTGGTCAGCCAAGACTAAAGCTTTTTTCTTTAATAGCTAGCCTACTTTTCCAAGGCACATAATAATAGGATGAAAATAAGTTAGGGCAGTCTTTGCTACCTTTGAAAATAGGACAGACACTCTGGTACAAGTCTGGAAAGACCCCTGCTGAATCTAAACAACATCACAAGCCATTTGTTCTCTCTCTCCGCAAGGATGAGCATATCAAACACAGAGAAACTCACTTGTTGGCTCATGCACAGGCAGCTTTAAGTCCTGAAGTGGCCAACTGGCCTTGCCCGTGGTGGACAAGCAGGTATCATTCCCTGTTTCCACCACACCTGACTCAAGATGTGCCACCCTGTGTGTTTGAAGGCCCTGTATGAATAATCTCCCAAGCAAAGGCGGCATCAAGGTAGGCATGACTGGGCACATGCTGAGGGTCCACACCCCAACTAGGGCCCACTTCCAAAGTAGACCAGAGTTTTGCATCCAGCTTGTAATGCTGCTTCTTCCTCCAGCCCAGTCAGTGCTTCTGCTGAGGAAGAGGAGCAGTAGATGCCACTGCTAGATGTCCAGTGTCTGATTTGTGGCATGGTCCGTGGGGAGCAAGCTACGGCTGCTGCTCTTGCTCTTGAAAAGCAAGATAATAAGGGAGATAAAAGGGATAATGAAGGAGATAGAAGGGAATGTTAGGAAATATATCACTTGGTGTATTTTCTGATCATTTTTTTAAAAGTTATTCATTACATCTGCAGAACTTCTTTTTCCTCCAAGACATCCAAGATCTCCCTCTTCCCCATTTTATCTGGACAACAGCACCGGCTCTCAGTCTGCCAAGCAAGAAAGTAGTGGCCATCATGAGGAAGAAGTCGAGAGGATGGCAGTGCAGAGGAGACATTCTTGCTGGAGGAAGGGCACGTGGAGAGGGCATGCCCGAGGCCCCTGAGATACCTGAAGCTGGTCCTGTTTCCATACCTCTCTGCTGAGGAGGAGCAGAGTGGGTCAGGCCTTCATGGAAACTGGCTTCCATGAAGTGATTCTCCATGAGCATCTTCAGATTCCTGGGGAAGGGGGGAAGGTTGCGCCTTTTCCTTCACGACCTAAGCAAACCCACGCTTCAGATAAATGTCAAAATGGAGCCTATGCTGGGGAAAGCATTCTGTCACCCACAAGCTCATTCCCAGTGCAACTGCTCAGGTCAGACCCCCAACAAGTGCAATGGGCCCCTATTCTGGGAAAGAAGGAGAGGAGCATGTCAGAGAAAGAGAGAGAAAAGGGTGGCAATAAGAAAAGAAACGGCAGCCCTCTTCACTTTTGCACTGGACCAGCTTCTGCTCCTGCCCACCAGAGCCCCCACCTCTGGTCTATGATATGAATTGGATGCTAGTTTGGAGTACTAGAAACAGAGGAAAACATAGAAACAAAGCAAGTCAGAAGGGGCCTCCCAGACCATCTTGTCTTAACCCTGGATCCAGCCAGCTCCACGCATGTAATCCCCAACATGTGATTGTCCAGTCTTTCCTTGAACACCTTCACTGAGGGCCTCAACCACCTCCCTTGGAAGCCCATCTGAGGGGCCCTAACCATCAGGAAGTACTTCCTGACATCCAACCTGAAGCCTGGTTCCTTGAGCGTTGCCCCACTGGAATGCATCCTGCCCTCCACTGCAGGGAAGAACAGGCCATGGCCCTCCTCCACATGACATCCTCTCACATACCTATAAGTTGCAAAGTAGATGACGATTCTTCCTTCTTCCTAGAGCTGGCATTCAACAATGCTGGCACATTTGCAATGCTTATATGGGCTTACTCTGATAGTGTGACTAGTGTTATCCCACAAAAGGTCGGCAAAGACAAGCAGCTCTGCATAGCCTTGTTTTCCAGTGCAATGAGGCCACCCTTAAAATATCCAAGAGCCTTTTCTATTTGCCGTTCTGCATTGCTTCTAACCATTTGGCTGATTGCTGGCGTGGATTCTTGAGAGTGGGATGAAAATCTGCATGGTCCTCCCTTTGTTTTGTTACACTGGAGAGGTGGTTCATCTCTCCCTCCTGGCCGCCTTCTCCTCCTCTTATTCTTAATTGGACACACGGAGTGCCTAATGCTTTCTACTGATAACATTTTCCCCCAAGATAGAAGGTAGCCTGAAAAATGATCACTTCATAAAACATCTTGTTTTTCCATCCCTAATGAAAACAGGAACAATAAAAAACAGCCATGTTCTTGGGAGCTAAAAATGAACATGTAATCCAAAGGAAAGCAGTGCAATTTTTGTTTATTTAAAAATAATAATGCAGCAGGTGCAATTCCCTGTCCTCTAAAATTTGGGTAAATAAAATTCTCATTCGCAAAGGGAATTTTATATGTGGTGTGTGTGTGTGTGAGAGAGAGAGAGAGAGAGAAAATATATGAAACTCCATTTTCAGTGAAAGCAAGCCCTTAATTAGACCTTGCAAATTACTTCTCCATACAAGCAAACCACAGGATTGTTGCACATAAATCACCTCCCAGTGCTGCTCTATATAAGAAATTTCCTCATGAACAATGACCTATTCTGAAACCTGCTGCATCTTCAAGAGGGATTAAGCTGGGTTATGGCAAAGGAACACTTAATTCAAAACTCCCCGGTCGGTCTTTCACTTTCGACTCCGTGAGGGATCTGGATGAACTGAAACAGAGGTGTGTCTGGTGCTTCAAAGCATCAGTATCCCCTGTGCTGATCCAGCACCGATCCTTCAAACCTTCAGTTTTCCTTGCTGCAGTTCTGCACAATTGCACTGGTGCAATTTGGATTGCACTGGAATGGTTAGTGCTGGAAAAGGGAAACTCGATGTGGGATTCAGATTCCCCTGCGGCCTTCTCCGCTCTCCATGGTGGGCAATGTTCTGGGAATACATGTTCTGGGAAGGTCTGCAACCTCCACCTTCCACCAGCCTCAGGGCTGCTACTGGCCCTGCCGTGTCACTGGGATGTCATCAGGGCAGGGATGGAAGCAAGAAAGTGACTTTCCGGCAACTTCAGGGTAGGGGCATTTGAAACCACAGGAGCAGGCAGGCACTGGCATGTCTATGGTTATGTAAATGCCACTGTCTATGGGCAGGGCAAGCAGGCTGTCACTCTCCGAGCACTGAGAGGGTTCACTTGGAGTAGCCATGCGTGAGAGCAAGCTCAGTGAGCAACCATGCCTGATAGCAGCAGCGTATTGACATAGGTTTATCCTGCCGACTTCATCTCGCATTGCAGGTTTACTACAGTACCCCAGGCACACTTTCTATCCTGTAATTTACAAATGAGTAGTCCTACTGACTTATTCTTTTACAAAGTGCCTGATCTAAAAGGACCCCCTATTTCAACTTCCTATGCTGTTGTTGTTAATTAAAAAATGCCTGGAATGGCAAAATCATTTTGGAAGCACCACAGGAAGATCCAGAGGGGGTGACTTTGAGACCCCAAACAAAGACCGCAAGAAAAGGCACAAAGCAAGGTTCAATTCAGATCACTTTGGTCTCACTTTAAAGCTAGGATTCGAAGCGCAGACCTCCAGAAAACAGAATGGAAATCTATTGAGGAAAAGCTGTGCTATGAATCTTTAAATTTAGTAGGCCAAACCACGGTTATGTGAGAAAAGTCAATAGTGCTGTTGTTTGCATAGCCTCAGGAAGAAAGCATTCCTGATACCTGAAAGCCATTCTTATGATGATTGCAACTCCCTGAGGGAAAATTCCAGGCAGAACAAAAGCTTTCAGAATTTTGCATTTTTATAGCTTCAGGAACCCTCTCCTGGGGTTATGAAGTCACCCCAGAAGTGACTTCCGTTGGGGTTCTTTAAGACAGGGTAAGGTTTGAAAGAAAGGGCAAGCATATTAAATTCATGATAGCGTGAAGCTGCTGCTAAACCACATACATCACCACCATGATCATTATCATCATGAGGAGGAGGAGGAGATGAAGACTTCCACAGCCAATCAATTTATCTGCTTCAATTGCAACAGAGGAAGGTGCTGATAGTGATGTAGATCTTGCTTGCATACTTGAAGGAAACTTGATGTGACCAGCCAGTGATTCAGGGGCTGCTGCTCATATAGTTGCATGAAAGATCTGGCATAACTGCATGGGAGCACATTGATTTCTTGCTCCTTCATGTTCAGGTAGGACAGGTACATACACCATTTCTGCCTATGGTTAAGGCTAACCAGGGTTTTCTTTTGACTAAGATGTAAATCCAGGGTTTCAAGACAATGCACACAGTCTAGTTAAGAGGGGGCCTGAACCAGATCTGCACTGCTAAATGACCCACTATGCCAAAATATTCCACCAGGTATGGCTGGTGGTCTTCCATTTGCCACCCCAAGCAGACAGCAAAAATAGATTTATCCGCTATTAATCATAAATACAATTGCTGGAAAGATTATCCTTTGTCATAGTCACATCTGGCCAAGGAACAGTAGAGGGGAAGGGTGGAAGAGACATATGAACCCGTGGCCCATCCCACATCCCTTAATAATGCTTAGGGGGGAAGATGCTGTCTGAATATTGTGCCTGTAAATGGAGACCTAAGATGCTAAGCATTTTGCTAATTCTGGCTTGCTTGCTCGCTTGCTTACTTGAATAAAAGTTTGTGCTGAACCAGTTCCGACCAGGAAGACAGTGCCTTAAGGGGTGGGTATTTAAGTTTCCCCAAACTCCTATTCTCTCCCACCCAGCTGTTTAAAAAGGGGGGGGGGGAAGTCCTATAGGAATAAGGCTAATGTGTTTGTTTTTCTTTCTTTAACCTGAAATTTCCATATAAAAATAATGGAGAAATTATCTTCATATTATGTCCTAAAGCTACATCATATGTATAAGCTATTGTAGCTTTTTATATCTGCACTAAACTTGGCTTTTAAATTTTGCATAATGATTTTTATGATGTTTTTATTGTTGCCTGTATTTCATATTCTGTTGTAAACTGCCCAGAAAGGTTTGGCTATTGGGTGCAGGCACAGAAAAAAGGGAGGAAGAGGAAGCAGTTGGGTTTTGTCTGAGGGACATCTTCGGCTATTTGGTGGCATAGAAATGAAATCGTAATAGTAGCAATAACAATAAGTTGTTTGAAATAATGTTTAGCTTCAAAGAGATGCAGCAATAGCTGCCCAAGATCCTGTTAACAGCCATAGATTCAGGGCACAATCCCATGGCTCTTTAAGGAGAGAAGGGTCCTACAGCACCCCCTGCTGGCTGGGGCATGCTGTGAGATGCAGGACCCTTCTCTGCATCAACATGCAGAGTGTTGCTTCCTAAGACACGGGACTATGAATCTCTCCTAGTATGATGGAAGCCGCAGCAAACACAATACCGTTATTCACTGGGACTGAGTACCTGAGGGAGAAGGCTGTCCTTTTACTACGCCATTTTTAGTCTTTTCTTCAGAATTCATTACTTCCTTGTAGATTAATTCTGCAAGAGACAAAGGAGCCAATTACAAAGGCACATAAGCATTACTAATCTCTCCCTCCCATTTCCTCCCAGCAGCATAATTTAAGTTGCAAAGGATTTGTGAATGGATGACTTCAATAAAAAAACAGCCTTAGAAACAAGTCCAGTTAAGTTACTACTCCACATCATTTATCCTAGCCGATTTCTTCCTATAAGCTACTGCATCTGCCTGCATTCAGTTTTGGTGGCAGGCCAAAAGAGCACAAGAGCCAACTTTGTTCTGGTTCACAAAAAAAGCTGTCTCCCCCATTCCTTAAAGACAGCGTAGGCAAATTGTGGGGCCTCCAGGTATGTTTGGAAAATGAAGAAATTGTCTGAAATGCAATCCTAAAATAGCTGCCATGGGTAAACTAGTCACAAAGGACAAGAAAACCTTCCCAGAGGCATCCATGGGAAATTAAAATAGCAGCTCCTAGAGGCTTCCAGTTTGCTTTGAAGCAATCCCAGCTGCCAGTAAGAAAACATAAAAATATTTTGAAATAAAAATGGGGAGGAGCAGGTTCGTCTGGTGAACACCAAGCACAGTATCTGCGCCATGTTGCTCACCCCATCTTTCAACAGTTCTTGTTCACTACTAGCCCTCAGCTATTTTCAAGATCCAAGCAGTTCCTTGGATTCTGCTTGTCTGGCTTGTTTGTTCCACCTGTTAAGAAATTGCCTACACCTTCAGAAATATTTTGTGCAGGACTGATCCTGATCAGGTTCACTGCCAGGACGGATGGTCTGGACTAGGAGCTGACTCTCACTTCAAGACAGGCGACACCATACTGTACGGAACAGTGAAATGGGGGGCAGTTGGCTAGCGTAGGGATGTAAGCAGACTGTGGCATGAGCAGCTCTGTCCTTCAGCAGCTGCTCGGGAGATTGGGGAGGAGCTGGGCAGCTACTGCTGCCTCTTTCCAGCATCTTCCCCCCGAGGTGGTTGCCCCATTCTGCCCGAAGACAGGGCCAGCTCTAATTATGTGCTACAGCCTATGTGATCTTTCTTAACCCTCTTCTCGTTCCAGACTGGGCAACTCACAATGTCCCCCAGCAGTTTCCAGATGAAACCAGGCCATGCCTTGAGCACCCGTATTCTCATACTGGCAGACATACCCTCTTCCCCTCCATTTCCCGTGTCCCATGCCAAATGACCCAAGGGCTCATGTTAATTTGGGTGGCTGGGCAGCCTCCTTCTTGCCCTACCTCCCCATGGGCTGCCACCCATCCCATCTCCATGCGGCATGTGCGCTAGAGCATCTCTGACTTGGAGTCTCAGTCTGTGCCAGCAGCTACACATCCTTTCCCTGGTGCCACCCCCTTTCCACAAATTATTTATTTATTTGACTTGTATTCCACATTGGAATAGACCCAAGTCTACTCTAAGTAGACTCTCCATATTAAATTAGTCCAAGGTTTCTAAGCAGTTCAAATGTGAATTGTTGGATGGTTTAGTTGCTTTGATGCAGTTGTTGCCCTTCTTCAAAATTTGGAATGCTTAATTACTGGAACAGCTTCAAGCTAAAATAGGTTAGCATTTTTGCTATTTTTGGTATGTTGATCTCTCCCCTTTTACCCTTGTTTCTGCCCAGAGCTAGAATGCAGACCCTACCTGTGAATTTCCCTGAAGTTGCATTTAGCCCTCAGACTGACAGGGGTTCCATAGTCCTAGCCTATAATATACTACTTTCTATATCATAACAAGGCATATCATAAACAGCCACCATGAGCAATAAAGGAAGGAAGAGAATGACAGGAGATGCAGGAGTGGAGGTGGGGAGGAGGGGGGTGGCGGCAAGTGAGTGTTTAGGGGCTCACTGTACCCTGTGGCATGAACATAGAAGGCTGCCTTACTTTGACTGGGTTCAGACAACATGATAAGGGCTGAGGATGGGTTGTTCCGGAACCCAGAGTTCTTGTTGAAACATGAGCTAGAGTTGCCTGAACCCAGTTGTGCTAACAAGCCATAGTTTTTTGACTGTAAAGAACCCTGGAGAGGACCTATGGTTCATTCACCATGTTTGTTATCTTGCTGTGTTCAGACAATACAATAACCCACCTTTCAACAACAACTCAGACTCAACCTTTGAGGGTAGGTCATCGTGTGGTCTGAAACTATTCCCTGGGTTCATGTAGTCCAGTAGTGTCAACACAGGCTGGCAGCAGCTCTCCATAGTTTCAGAAAGAGTTCCTTCCTAGCCAGCCTGGAGATGCTGGTGGCTAAACCCAGGATCGTCTGTATGCAGAGCATGTACTCTGCTGCTGTGCGGAGGCTGCTCCCTCAATATCCATGGACGAACCTCATCCCACACTTTAAAAATGAGATTACCTTTCCACTCTTCAATCGTGTGTTCTCTTTCATCCAGCTGCTTATCATATATCTGTGGAGGTGGCTGCCAAGTAAAAACACAAGAGTTAACAGAATGTGCTATAAGAAGAGCATAAAATGAAATTAAGTCCAGGCACAGGAGGCCAGCAGGCTTTTAATGGCAAAAAAGCAAGGAAATGAAAACATGAGAAATTTCTGCCACAGCAGTCTAATCTCCACTGCACCATGAGATAGTTAGGATGGGAAGGGACAGAAATCTTTATAGGAAGGCCCATAAACAACACTAATTAATTTTTTCAAATGTTAAAGAGAAATCTTTCCGCTCAAAATATGGATTAGCATGGTTTCTAGGTAAATTAATTATCTATACCTTAGTATCACATTGGACGCAAGGGTGCTTTCAGTCTAAATGTTAAACAACACCATTTTTCCTGGCCTGAAGTCAATGGTGCTTAACCTTTTTCTCCCCATTGGATGCCTTGAACGGTTCATAATTATCCAGCTCCTGCCATATGAAATCCTCAGTAGCTTTCGTAGCCGTCAGGATGTCCTGACATGTGTCAGAACATTCACAGGACCTGTTCTGGGTGCATCTTTCCAGACTACCTTGTGATTTGATGCTGGACCGATAATGATCAGGAATGTGATGTTCAGCTTGCCAACAACTTGCCATTTCTTTGGGTACTACCCAGGATACTAGCTGTACTGTTTCATACTCCATATGGGGAAAAGAAGTACACCTGTGAGCCCATGTACTGGAGAACACATCAAGCTCGCCTTCTGCCAGCTGCACTGGGTGCCTGCTGCTGCCCCAGCTCAATTCAAAGTGCTCACATTAAAATACAAAGCCAAATATAGAACCTGGGTTGCCGCAACTTGAGTTGGTTATTCCGTGTCCTACCTCCTGGTAGGATCTTGACTATCCTTTGTGACAGCCTTTGAGGTACCTATAGAGTGCTATATGGAGACAAGAGTTCCTTCAGATGTCCCTGCCCCAAACCATATGATCTCTACCAAATCCTTACAATCTTTTATGGATGCCTTTTCTGTGAGCCCGCCCTAAAGGAAGGAAAGGGGGAAGCAACAATGAAAAGGGCTTCTTCTGTTATTGCATCTCACCTCTGGAACACACTAAGGAGGCACCACTGCACCCGCACTGCTCAGCTTCTGTTGCCAGCTGGAGATATTTTTATTTCAAACCTGTTTTTAGTATAGTTATGCTTTTACTATGCTTTTGTCACTGCTTGCTTTTATTTGTTATGTGTATTGTCTCCTGTTCCTGTGTTAATTATTGTTTTTATGATGTTGGATTATTAGTTTTTTAATTTGCTGATGGTATGAGGGTTCTTCAAAAAGTTTCTGCACTTTTAAAAATTCTATTTATTAAGAAAAAAAATCAGAAATAAAATAACATCACTTTTCTACATAGTCACCTTCCTTTGAGATGCATTTTTCCCAACATTGTACCAACTTTTAATGCCATCGGCAAAAAATATATAAAATATATTTATAAAATATAAAAGTGCAGAAACTTTTTGAAAATCCCTCGTATTTTGTATGCCATTGTTTTTGTGACATGCTCAGAGAGCGCTCAGGCTACGATGTGGCATACAAGTGTCACAAACAAAGAAACACAACGGCCCTTTCCCAACGTGGCACTAATATCCATGCCTGGCTGGGGGTGATGGGAATTGCAGTCCAATGCATCTGGAGAGGCTGGAAAAGTCTGGAATGGATGAACAGACTAACAAAAGTAGAGAAGGGGGGGAAGAATTTTTTAATTCCCCCTCTTCACTTCCGTGAACTGAACTACCACGCTGGAGTCGTGATCATTGGACCTCGTATATATGAAGCCCTGACGAGGAAGAGAGCGCCTCCTGGGAGTCCAGCTTGCTTTAAGCAGGAGAAAAGAGACAAAGCAAATGGCGGGCCGATGTCTCACTGGCCATTCATTCCATTGCCACCTGCTTTCGAGGTATTGGCGGATCTGTTCTGACACAGTCAAGGCAGAACTGCTTGTTGAGATGTGCTCCACGGCAACAGAAGGACACGGGAGAGGAGCAAGAGTGGGCCGAAGAGGCCAAAGATGGCTTTTTGAAATGTTTGCCAGGATTCTTTTAGAATAGCTTGGGGAAAGAGAAAGGATTTCATAGTCTTAGGAGGAGGACAATTCTGTGGAATTGGGGTTTGCATTTCAAATGTGGCAGGATTCTCTACCCCTGTCCCCATCCTTGCAAAAATGAGTCTGAATCTGGCTGAGATAACAAATTATGGTGAACAACTCTCAATGCACAACCCAACAACAATGAACCATTGCTAACAAGCCATGACTTATTATCACAGCTGGTTTGGACAACACAATAACCCACATTTCAATCACAACCCATAGTTCAAGGACAACCCACACCCAACCTGTACCCATCCCTTGAGTGTGGGTTATGGCAATGTCTGAATTTAGTTAGTGTGACTTAGAGACCAGGTCTAGAGAGCCTAGAACACTAGCCATGAATTCCATCTCGAAGATTGTTCTGATCTGAGTCCAAATTAGATTGCAAACTTTTTTTCCTGTTTTACACAAAATCCATGTGCATATATTTCTCCAAATGTACTTGGAATTATAGAATCATAGAACAGTAGAGTTCAAAGGGGCCATGAAGGCCATCAGGTCCAATCCAACCCCCTGCTGTTGTAGGACACCAACTTATCAATCGTACGCATCTTTGAATTGTACCATTCTTCTACCATCTATTAAAACACATTTGGTATGGTTTTTTTCTTTCATGTGCACTGTTCTAAAGTACAGATGCTATCAAATGTGTTTTTCCCCCAATTGGGGGAGCCATAAATCATGTCGCAAGCTCAGAAATGAACAGATTTCACTGTGAATTGTGTCTGGGTGCATGCACCATCTGGATGATGTGAATTGGGTAAATCCTGATCAACATGAGCTTAAAACACACTTTGCATGTATCCCTACCCAGCTTCCAGGCTCTCAGGCTTGTGGGGCAGCACCCAATACTGGGAGTCAGAGTGGTCCAGTTCTCCACAAGAGGAAAATGGAGGATGCTTCTGCACAGGCACTTTGTGGGTTTGCATCCCAGTGTCTGCTGTCAGCAGTCAACAGGCATGCCATGGAGATGATAAAGAGCCACCTTCTCTGCCTCCTTTCCTTGCCAATTTGCTTGCAGGTACGGGGTACAGCAGAGCTTGCCAATCTCTTGGCTCTTTGGCAGAGGTGCCAACTCACAGGACCAAGCAATTCATCCAGTCCACACCGGTTCCCACATGCCTTCCCTGGGGCTGCCAGATGGTTTCAACTACAACTCCCATCAGCTCTGCCCAAGGTCAGGAATTTGGGGGGAGTCCGAAAGAGCTGCCTGGGAAAGGCTGCTTTACGGTGCAATGCTATTTCCTTTACTGTTCTGAACATTGGGGCTTCTCCTTTCCGCTCCTTACTCAAAATCGGCATGCCTGCAGCAGCAGCCGACCCCCGCCCCCGCCCCCCGCAGGCTTGTGTGAAATCTTGCCAAGCCCCCGCAAGCCCCACCAGAGTCGCCCTCCTGTCGGCGGCGTCCTGACGCGCTCGCGCACACCCTCCGGGGGAGCCTGCAAGCCGAGCCCGCGACGAGAGGGAGGCGACGAGGGGAGCCATCCCGGTCAGCGAGCCCGGCAGCCCTGTCACTCCGCGCCGCTGCCAGCCCGGGGGCTCGTGCCGGCTAACGAGGGGGGAAGCCGAGCGTGCGGGCAGCCGAGAAGGAAAGCCCGAGGGGCAGGAGGGCTGCGCATTCATACAAATGCTGCGGCACTCGTCTGCTTCGGTAGCCAGCCTCCCCTCGGGTTCCAGGAGTGGCCGGGGAGGAGGAGGAGGAGGAGGAGGAGGGCGTTCGGCAGAGCGCATCACATCCGCTGCGTCTCTACGGCCTCCATCAGGGAAACTGGAAGTCAAGCCGGGATAAGCATCCAAGAGCTTATCGATATTTACTTTAATGTATGTTTGTGCATCCTTCGCATGGGAACCCCCAAGCCGTGCAAGGGCTGGACTGAACCTTCCATCCCCCTTGAAATTCACCGGGGGGGGGGGCAGAAATAGAAGAAGAAAAAAGTTTTGATTGGGCATCAACGGCTGGTGTGCGTGGCTGTGTGTCTGTGTGTCCGCCCATCCTTCTTCCCCACCCCCGCAACACGCATACACACCAGGGGGATTTTAGCAAAAAACCGTCAGGGGGAAGGTTGCGCCAACCCCCACCCCTAATGCACTAGGAGCCCAATTCAAATTGGGGACAGGCACACTTACACCAGAGTAAATAAAACGAAAAGTGGACTCTGTTCCATGAAACATGATTGGCATAAACTGCAGTTTGGTTCCTAAACTTAGTAATCAGCATTTTAATCCCAGACGATCTTACTCTGGCTGGTAGTTTAAAGAAATAGCAGGATTTAATTTGGATCCAGAAACGATTTTAGCTGAAAGGCGCTATTGAAATACTGGCCTTCCAACATGGGCAAACTGCACTCAGAAGAGACAGAGAAGTCTGTTTCCTGCTTTTTTCAGGTTTCCGTTGCCAGAACTCATTCTTAAATCACCATAGCAAATAAGTGCCTGACTTTGTCCACCTATGGTGAAACATTCAGCTGTGTATTGTAGGCATTTTTATTCAAAAATTGCACAATTGCATATTATGATTTTTTAAAAAGAAACAAACCATCTTCTGATCAAACTGGACTCCCAAGTAGAAAGGGAAATGAAAAGAACATTCATCAACTCATTACATTTAAACATGGGTTATTTGCTATGGACCTCGCTTGCCCCTTCGCTGCTCCAAACAGATGTTGGTAGTCATGGTTACAGTTGCCAAGGAAATGCAAGGAAGAAGTCCTGAGACAGCACTGACTTCCAGCTTGGCCAGCTACCCTCACCTGGAAGTCTACAGAGATTGTTCCAATATAGGAAAGACTGATTAAATCTAGAAATAAACCTCCATGCCATAGAACAGGGGTCTCAAACTCAACTGACCTGGGGGCCGCTGGGAGTAGAGTCTGGGTGAGGCTGGGCCGCATCAAGTA